TATTATCGTCGATCTGTTTCATCCTTTAAGCTCCAGCTCCATTCTCGCTATACTCTTCTTAATTAGACTCTTCTTTCGATGTTAACAGAATGCGGACTTGGAAAACCTACTGCTCTAAATGCCGTTCTTTCAACTTAAGCTGTTGCTCATAATCTAAACTATTAATTTTTATATAGCTATGTAAATATAGTGTTCTAGTCCTTGTCTTTAATGTATGTCTACTTATTGTTTTGTATCAGGTTGGTCTTCACACCCAATGGGACTCATGCCCTGTTGACCATACCTTCAATCATTGTTATAATTTTTGTATGATTGTAAAGTTAATAAATAAAGAGCGTCCTGGATAATATAAATAAATATATATATAGTAACTAGAAATTAAATATCTAAGATATTATTTTATTATATAAAGTATAGTGCAGTAGTGCTTTATCGAAATTTCGAGCAGTGATAAAATTGATAATCTGACATGTGAGCTAGATTATTTATGTTTTGTATATATGTTATGAATTATATAACATACAAAAGTTATGTAACATATATTATATACATTCAATTATCGCTTCTCTGTAAAATGTATCGCTAATTTTCAAATACTGTCCTTTAATACTTTATATAATAAACAGAAAAATACATAAGTAGGCTAGTATAGAGAGTGGGGGTTCTACGACGGGCGGTGCGGGCGGTGCACTTAGCTTAAGCTTACTTGATATTTTTGTGCCGCTGCCGTTTGTTTATCCGCCGTTTTTAGCTTATTTCTGGGTGCTTCGTTGCCGTTTATATTTTACAGTTTATATTTCTGGCTACTTCGCTACCGTTTATATCTACAGTTTATATTTCTGGCTACATCGCTGCCGTTTGTTTTATATCTACAGTTTATATTTCTAGCTACTGCGATGCCGTTTGTAATTGTAGTATCGCTTTTAGTTTATTTTTGGCTGCTTTGTTGCCGTTTATCTACAGCGGTTTTAGATATCAGTTCGAATCAGTTCTGGCTACTTCGCTGCCGTTTGTTTCTACAGAGTGCAGTTTATATTTCTGGCTACATCGCCGCCGTTTGTTAATATATCTACAGTTTATATAGCTACTGCGATGCCGTTTGTAATTGTAGTATCGCTTTTAGTTTATTTTTGGCTGCTTCGTTGCCGTTTATAGTTCGTTTATATTTCTGGTTACTTCGCTGCCGTTTGTTTATCTACAGTCAGTTTTAGTTTTATATTTCAGGCTTTATATAGTTATACTGTGTCGCCGTTTGTTTATCTACAGTTTTTAGTTTTATATTTCAGGCTTATACTGTGTCGCCGTTTTTTTTCCTTTTATTGCCCATATATTATAACATATAAATATTTACATTAAAAAAAAAATTAGACTAATGTTATGGTAGGGGCCTACCAGAAACCTTAACAGGCTTTTATTTAAGACCCCTATTGATATAAAATTTAGATGCTAGTTCTAACTACAGACTATACAGTCAACCAAATTTAAAATATATTACAATAAGTAGTTAAAAGAAAAGAAAGAGAGAAAATGTGAAAGCTATTTACAGCATAAAGTGTTACATTGTACATATAATTTGATTAATTACTTGAAATTTGAAGGAAGTGTTCTTTTATAGTATTTTTGAAAGTATTACGAGAAGTGATATTTTTAAAATGACATTCAAGTCCATTCCAAACATCGACTCCTTTATTTGAAAGAGTATGTTTTACATAGTTCGTTCTTTATGTATGACTTGTGGAGTTGTGTTTTATTTCTTGTATTGTGTTGGTGGATTTGATCATTGGTCACAAAGTAATCAGTGAATACCTCTGGTAGATTTTTGGTGTAGTGATATCGAAACATAAATAAACTTATTAAATAATCATTAATTTTATAAATATCTAGAATTTTTAAGTCTTTAAAGATTGGTTCGCTATGTGCCAAATAAGAGTTGAAAGTCATAAGGCGCACAATTTTTTTTTGAACATTCATAAGTTTTTGGATTCTTTTTTTGTAGGTATTACCCCAGATTATATTTCCATAGATAAGATATGGATAGACTAAAGCATAGTAAATAAGCTTAAGAGCATTTAAATTTGTAAAATGTCTTATTTTTGCTATTACTCCAGCAGATTTAATAACTTTTTTTGCTATTAAATCCACGTGTTCATTCCATGTCAAGCATTCATCAATAACAATACCAAGGAATGTGGTATTTTTTACCTGTTTTAATTTTTCTTTGTTTATTTCTATTGTTACATCAAAATTCTGTTTTTTGTTATAAGATCTAAATAGAATAAACTTTGTTTTTGAAGTATTTATAGATAATTTATTTATATTTAACCATTCAGCTACTTTATTAATTTCTACTTGCATAATTTCATTTAATGTTTTAAGACATTTGTTACTATGAGATATCGTTGTGTCATCCGCAAATAATATAAATGAAACTATTTTACTGCAATGCTGTATATCGTTTATATACAAAAGGAACAACAGTGGTCCCAGAATGGAACCCTGGGGGACTCCACTTGTGATTGTCATTTCTTTTGATCTCGCCTGATTGTATTTTACAATTTGTTTTCTATTTGTTAAATAATCTTGAAACCATTGTTGAGATATTCCTCTTATGCCATAATATTCTAATTTTTTAATCAGAATCCTGTGATTAATTGTGTCAAAAGCCTTGGACAAATCTAAAAATATACCAATAGTGTATTCTCCTTTATCTATTGCTCTAGTAATTTTATCTAAAAGTTCAATAATTGCAAAATCTGTTGATCTGTTTTGTCTAAACCCATATTGATGTTTTGATAATATCTTGTTTTTTTCTATGAAGTTGATTAATCTTTTGTACATGAGTTTTTCTAATAATTTTGAAAAACATGAAAGAACAGATATAGGTCTGTAATTGTTAAATTTATTTTTTTCATTAGCTTTAAAAATAGGTGTAACTAATGCTATCTTTAGCTTATCAGGGATAATACCACTTAGGAAAGTCAAATTAAATATATGAGCAAGAGGCTCAGAAATATTGCTGGCAGTTAATTTTAAGAATTTCGAACTAATATTATCATATCCAGGACTTTTATTTTGATTCATATTAGTTATTTCTAATTCTATTTCATTTTTGGTAATTGCTTCAAGAAACATGCTATCTTTGTACAAATTACTAGTGAGATAGTGCTCAAATGTTTTTTGACCATCATTTTCGGTAATCTTTTTTGCCAGTTCTGGTCCAACATTCACAAAATATTCATTGAATTTGTTGGCTATATTAAGAGGATCTTTAATTAACTCAGAGGGGTTATTCCCAACAAATTCTTCTGGTAGTTCTTTTCTTACTTTATTTCTATTCATGATTTCATTTAATGTTTTCCATGTCATTCGAGCATCATATTTATATTTTACTAGCTGTTCTTCATAATATATTTTTTTGGCCATTTTTATTATATGATTTAGTTTATTTTTATATTTTTTTATATTTAGTTTTGTTTTTTTCACTTGGGTTTCGTAAGAAAGTTTTATACAGCTTATTTTTCCTCATCACTGATTTTATAATGCATCTGGTCATCCATGGACTTTTGCCTTGATCAATATTATTTTTAAGATGTTTTGGTCTTAATGGGAAGTTAGTTTCATAGGTTGTTGTGAATATTTTAGAAAATTCATTAAAAGATTTTGTCGGATTTTCTTGAATAAATACATTATCCCATGATGCGTTTTTAATTGAGTTTATAAATGATGTTATGTTAGAGTTATTAATTTCCCTTTTATAGATTACGTTAGTTTGTTTGGTACTTTTTTCTTCGGGATTTTTTTAATCAAACATGTGTAATATTGGTAAATGATCGGAGATATCAGTGAATATAATTCCATTAATACTGTTCTCAACTTTTTCTATATTATTTGTAAAAATATTATTGTAGCAGTATGTTCAGTAATTCTAGTTGGTTTTGTTATAAGCGGAACAAAAGATGATGTAAAAAGTTGTTCAATAAATCTATTGGCATAATCACAGGATTTGAGTAAATCAATATTAAAATCTCCCATAAGATAACATATTTTGTTTTCTTTATCAATTTTATGTAGTAATACATTCATTGCATTTTCAAATACTTCAACTTTTTTGTTTGGAGGTCTATATATTGTTCCTACGATTATGTTTTTACTGAATGGCATAACAATTTCGATAAAAACTGATTCAATTCCATCTTCGTTAACGGAATTCAAATCCTTGCGAATCTTATATTCTGTTTCTTTAATAATATAAATACCTACTCCTCCGCCTTTTTTATTGCTTCTGTTTGAGCTTATGAAATCATATTTTTCTATATTAAAGTTATCGTTATTGGTATCATTGAGCCATGTTTCTGTTAAGCCTATTACTTTAATAGGTTTTCCTAGTGAATTCAGAAGGTGTTTAAATGAGTCAAAGTTTTTAGATATACTTCTTATATTTAAGTGTAACAAGGAAAAGTAATTTTTTTGTTTGTCTTTTGTGATGACATCTTTAAGTTCGTTTGTAAGGTAATAGTCACACTTTATTTTGTCAATGTCAAAAGACGAATCCGGATGCGCGCTGATTCCGCATAATTCTAAATCATTACTCAGTTGAAATGGGTTAAAACTTAATTGCGTTATTCTATCCATATCATCTTGGCTAAAGGTTCTACCTCTTGTAATGTTTAAGTCGTATTCTAAATCATCAAGCGATTGAAACGGCAAGGCATTGTCAAGGCATAATTTGCATATATCAATTTCCGCATTAGTCACATTAGCGTCAAATGATTTCAGGCATGCAGACTTGGCGTGATACCATCTGTGACATGAGTTACATTCAATCCATTTTTGGTATTTCCCAATAGTTTTAAGGCAAGAAGAACATGTCTTCTTGTTAGTAATATTTGATTTAGGCATTAGATTGGTTTCTTATTTGAAAATAAATGTTAAAAATTATGATTATAAGGAATAGTAGAGTATATGTATTGATATGTAAAGATATGTAATTTGAAACGAGATTATGTCAAATTAAAAACAACACCTTCAATAATAAGTTTGTCCCTGACCATCCTAGCCCTTTTCTTTTCTGCTTTTGCCTTCTTATATTCTGGATAGAGTGCTTTTCTAACTCTTTCAATTTCTTCTGGGAATTGTTCGGAAACACCAATTCTCGTTCCTTTCAGCTTTCTCGCATTCTTTCGTATGTATTCCCTATCCTGGAAGTAATTGAATTTCACCACTATTGGCCTAGGTTTCGCGTTGGTCTGAACTTTCCTTCCAATACGGTGGGATCGGTCAATCTTTATCATATATGCCGCATCACGTACTTCAAATTTCTCTTCGAGTAGGCTATGAATAATCGCAGTTGTATCTTCCTTCTCCTGTTCACTAATATTATAAAAGACTAAATTGTCTCTCATTGACCTTGCTTTAAGGTCAACGATGCTATCATGTAGCGCGGTATTTTCATTTTCCAGACTCTTAATTCGTTTCTTTGTTTCTTCATCGCATATTTTTGATAATTCTTGCTGACGCTTCAAATCATCAATTTCTGCATATGCGTACTCCAAAGATTGCTTTAATCCTTTCATCTCTTCTTCGGCAGACTTAACTTTCTCTTCGATAATGTCAAGCTTGTCCAACTTCCTGGCCATCACTTTTAGCAATGTATTTCATCTAATTGCGTATTATTTTCCCCCTCTTGTTGAACAATCGTATCAGGTGCTCTCTTCTCCACAGAGGCTTTGAGGAGCTACTGTATTAAAAAAGAGGCTTTGAGGAGCTACTGTATTAAAAATATATGCGCTAGACGGTAATGTTACAGAGTTATGCGCTAGACGGTAATATGTAACGAGGAAACCGCTAAAATTCGGAACGCGGGCAAGGAGGGCGCAAGGGGGGGCGAGGAAAGGGAAAGCCTCTGCCAGATGCCACACCCAACATGGCGTCAGACCGGGGGGGAGAGTAACTTCGCTGCAAGGAATCGCTGTTTTTTTATATCAAACGAAATGGCAGAGAGAATAAATTTTAGTAACTCGTGTCCTCAAAGAGATTATTTAATATCATTTCGAAATGATAATATATGCTGCCCTACTTGCGACAGTAACAATCTTGATTGTTTTTCTCGAGAAGGACTACGCCAGCATTATAGACTTGTGCACAAACAAGTAGAATTTAGCGACGAAATTGTGAAGAAAGGTGCTTCATTGTTGCGCACACGGGCAGCATCAGAGACCTTGAAGAATTTGTTGGCCCTCTCTGAGAAACGAAGAGAAATGGTGAGTGAAAAGATTCTCTGGTATTGTAATAATATGCGTATACAATTTTTAATAATACGGCATTTACAGTGATTTACATATTCGTATATATTTTAATTGTAACAGGAAGGTGAAATATACACCTCATACAAAATCGAGGGACGTAACGAAACTGCTGAGTTGTATTGCTCGAGTGATAAAGAAGCGGCCAAATTGTTTGGATTATACTTGGATCACAAGATTTCTTTACCGAAAGTAGAAGAAAGTGGTCAGGGAATCAAAGTTCAAGTTTGCAACTCATCACTGACTTCTATTTACGAAGTGTGGCGTGCTAGAGACAAGATTTATGTCGAAGCTGTTTATTTTCAGTCGGTGAGTTTTTAATTTGCATTTTTAGCACTCATGAATGGAAATATGTAAATTTCTATATAGGTTTACATAATATATCAATGCCTATCAAGTTTATATTCGCTTGACTATATATGACATGTAGTCTGTAAAAACTCAGAAATTTAGTTCTACATTTTATTTTGTTTTGAACAGAAAATGCGTGTAACTTCATTTCCTGCACCCCAGGAAAGTATTTTAACAGAATTACGTGGATGTCAAATACAATTGCCAGAAAACGAAGCAGAGAAAGAAGTGTTTGTCCTAAAGCAACTATACGGGTTTGAATCCTTTAAAGATGGACAGTTGGAAGCTATACGTTCCATTAGTCAATACAATGACACACTTGTATTGATTCCAACAGGGGGTGGAAAAAGTGTAGTTTACACTGTAGCTGCTGTTCTCATGCAAGGATTGTCTGTTGTTGTAGAACCACTAAAGTTTATAATGGAAGAACAGTCAGAGAAATTAAGATCAAAACAAGTTCCTGCTTTTTATTACAATTCCTCACTGACAGATGCAGAGATGGATTCAATTGTTAACACCTTATGTAGAAAGGACTTACCTTATGCAATACTTTTTACCAGTCCTGAATGCATAATGTCTAGCAAGCTTCAGCATGTCCTTAAAACATGGAGTGATGTTGGGAAACTTAGCTTCATTGCAGTCGATGAGGCTCACTGTATTGATGTGTGGGGTCATGGCTTTCGTCAAGATTTTTTAAAGCTTGGGAGTCTAAAAGATTTTTCAGTTCCTATAATTGCCCTCACTGGCACAGCTACAGATAAAGTAATGTCCTCAATTGTGTCCACACTTGCTATGACCACGCCAAATGTGATTAAAGTTAAATGTGCAAGAACTAATTTGTTCATACAAATACAAGCCAAGGATAACAAACCATTAAAACAAGTTATTGATTTCATCAAAACTAATTGTCCGGGGAAGAGAGGCATTGTGTATTGTGCTCGTAGAAAGGATACAGTTGATCTGGCACATAAATTGAAATCGGATAACATTGATGCTGTTTTTGTTCATGGTGGTTTGTCAGATGTAGACAGAAAAAAATATGAGCATGCATGGGCCAGCGGCACTGCCCATGTAATATGTGCTACCAAGTCATTTGGTATGGGCATCGATCAGAAAGATGTTCGTTTTGTATTGCATTTGTCATTTCCTGAAAGCATGGAAGACTATGTACAAGAGATAGGGAGAGCTGGAAGAGATGGACATGCTGCAATTTGTGGACTATTTTTTGATCACAAGGATCGGTCATTCCATCTACACAACATCATGCAGATTGAGGACAAAGAGATTTTGTCCTATAAGTATGAATTAATGAACAAAATGGCGATGTACTGCACAAATCGTACCTGTCGCCACAAGTTTATTATGTCCTATTTTAATGAAGACATGCAAGAATGTGAGGAACACTGTGACATTTGTACTTCAAATGTTGATACAATTCAAGATTGCACATCCATCGCACTGCTCGTGATCCAAGGTCTTGCAAGACTGCAGCAGGTTCAAGAAAAAGTAACTGTTCTTCTTCTCACACAATTCCTAATGGGATCACCGACCATTGTGTTAAAAGCTCTTGCTTTAGATAAAGCTGCTGAATTTGGTTTGGTTAAAGATTATTTTAAAACCAAAACAGGAAGAAGGGATTTACAAGCACTGATTTACCATCTGATAATTACTGGAATGATCAGTGAAGTTCCTGCTGGTACTCCAGAAAACCCCAGTATTGTGATAAAGACTGGTAATGTTCAGAATCTTCAAAGTGGCAGTGAAAAGTGTTATTTTCACACAACCATTTTTAACTGACGATGGAACAGAGGCACATACAACAAGCTAAACATATATCATAGATAATGGAAATAGGCAACATCAGCTATCTTGTAACTGGAAACAAATATCTGCTTGTACATGCAAGTGTACAACTTCCCATAATTAATATCATGTGCACAATATATGTCAATATTTGTTTTAGGTTTAATAGCAGAAGTCGCCTATTTATTCTCCATCAGTTTGTACATAGAGTGTTGGAACAGCAAACCAAGGTCGCATATGTTCAATTTCCACCTCAGTCAAGCAAACACCAAATACAAAAAAACATGGTGGCTTCTTGTTTATCACATGGAATTTCATTGTAATAAGCTATCACATTATACGCTGACATTTCTAACTAATTTTAACAGTAGTAGTAATAATATTATTTTAACATTGTGTCCAATGTCATCAATTAAATGACAATTATAACAATACACCCTTCTGAGAAGTACGTCATTTCAGTTATAGAGCCTCGTTTTTGTGTGTATTTTCGTGTATGTGTGTATTAGTAACCTCCAAATCACGAAAAAGGGATGCTCTATAGCCAAAGTGTGGTGTACTTTTCAGAAGGGTTAAACAATTTTATGAATGTTTTCAATATTATGTACAGTATGAAATGTTATTCAAAAATGTCCCAATCTACCTGTAGAATCCCATTTAACCCATTAATTAAGTGGCAACACTCTCCCAATCAGGAGTAAAATCATCTGGGGTTAGTAAAATAATAAAGTAGAGCACATTGTCATTTGAGGGTTATAACAGTATGCATGTGCGATACTGTAGTGTGCCATTGAGTGGTAGCACTCTCCTCTTTACAAGTTAAAATTGTCTGGCGTTAGACAGAGTAAGATAATCTTGCGCATCAGATAGAGAAAAATGATAAATTAGGGCACATCATGGAACATTGCCACTTAAAGGGTTAACTACAAACTAGCTACAGTAACAATGTCATACATCAAGCAACAACTGATACCTCAGATCAGGAAAGCAGTCATATAATTTAGACTTGAAATTATCAGCAACTTTCTTTACACCTTTTTCCTGAACATCCAGATAGCACTTTGAAACTGACCCACCTTCACATCCCTGACCATCAACAGGATAACATGCAGGCGATGCTTCTGGGGATTTACTTGGATCTAATAGACCATTGTTTAAGCAAAACCAGGCACCTTTAAGCTGGTCGAGAAATGGTTCAGCGACTGAATGACGGGATGTTGAATGTACATCAAAGGCATATTTTGATGTGTATCCACTCCGTGTTTGTTTGAATAAATCGATTGAACCCATCAATCTTTTGCACATCTTCACTGAAGTGTGACCTAAAAGTTACTGTGTTTATTAATAATGAGCATTGATACTTGCATATATAAATCCTAGTTTGTACCCCCACCCTCTCTCTGGAGGGGGGGGGGGATGAACCATCTCAAAAGACAAAAATGGGCAGGGGGGATAAAATGTTCTTGATCATAATGGGTGTGTTGATGAGGGGGGTGTACAAAATACTGTCATAAAGATTGTTGGAAGTCATTTTCAAAATATAGAAAAATAAATCAACTGAATACACTATGATCTTAGCCCAAACATTTTGACACATAAAAATTTGGCATTTTGTTCTCTGAAACAGTTGTCGTCAAGGTAATAAAATATTCTGTACTTGTACAAAGTGTATTGTACATGTACTAAACATTAAAAATATCAGACAATTGCTTCTACAGTACAGTACAGTACCTTACAGGGATAAAGTAGAAGGCAAACATGGAGCAATCTTGTCTAATAACCATATAGATACAGTACCTGAGACGTAAGTCTTTAGTGGTTGTACAATCTCTGCTTCCACAAAGGCATCAAGTTCTAACCCACAGCCTTGCTTCCCTGTGACATTGACACTGCAGTTCAGTCCAACAGTTTTTCTGAATGCGAGGGGCCATTTGCCAAGTAAATTGACAGTATGTATGAAACATTCCGTGAAATAATTTGGGAAATTTAGTTGGGCATACATAGGTAGTTGGTGAAGAAAGCAAGTCTCTCTGGCCAATCCCCAGCAGTGACTTGTTGCGAGATCGTACAGTTCGAACAAAGGGCCATAATACAGGAACATTCTACTTCTGTATTTGAAGCTGGAGCTGACAACATTTGACTGTTTAACCCATAATTTAAACTGGCCAAGCAGTATTTCTGTATGACTGCCAGTAGCACGGTTGCATTGGGACATCATATGTGGATCAGGATATAATTTAGATTCCTTGAACTCCATCACTGCTGCTAGACCATAAGCTCTAGCACCATCTCTAACTGCCTCTCTTATTCTGCTCAAATTACCCTCTGCAAACTTTTTCTTCTTGAAAGCCTCTTTGGTGAGTTTTGGTCTCTTCAACACTTTGTGCACCAAATAATGGAACCCCCCTGGGCCTTGCTCTTTGAAGCAAGCCTCTGCCAAGTAACCCTTTGTATGCATGTCACCAGGGATAATGCCAACCCAATCATGACTACTGGATCTGGACATAACACCGCGATTGGTTTTGCAGGTTCCCACATCACCTACAACACCTGTGATGAAACCAGGTGAAGATCGTGTGCAGGCTTTATTGTTGTCCTTGGTAGTGGGCAGTGTGACTTGTGACTGAACCGATTGAAATGCGGGATCATAAGAACACAAGTCGTCATCTTCTTCATCAGAGCTTGTAGGATCAAGGATTTCCAAAATTTCTGCAAGTTCCATTTTCTTAGCAACAGCAATTGGACTGGGAACATTGGTAAACAGGGGACCTCTCACACATGCTCTTGACTTTACAAGCAACTGGCACATTTCTTTATTTTTTAAGATAACACTAATAATTATTGGAGTGATGCCACATTTCTCCTTTGCATTAGGATTAAAGCCAACATGGAGCAAACATTCAACAAAATTCATATTTAACTGTTCAACAGCAATGTGTAGAAAGGTTCGCCCCAAGTGATCTTTCATATCTCTTACATATGGCTTTTCAGCCATTTCTTTCACAAACCGTTCTATTGTGTCGGTTTGAAAAGCCTCACACATTTTGTTTTTTAGTGATTCGTAAGTACTGTTAAACAAAATATCTTGACCCTGGAATAATTTCTTAACACTACCTACAGTAGTATCTGCTGGAGTTTCTTCATTCTCTTTCTGGCAATTTACATCACCAGCTACCTCATGATCTTCCAAGTCACCAAAACCATCACCACAATTAAAAGTATCTGCATCATTCTCCTCTGCATTTGACAATTGCAGTTTATACTGTTCACTATCTTGTGCATGATGATTCATCATCATAATAAATTCAGCATGCTCCCGTGCTTGTTTAAGACAAAATGTCTTGGAGTGTTTGTCGAAAGGTAGGTTTTTGGATTGACAACTGGAGGGAATTGAAAACTCTTTGCCAAATTGATCTAAAATTGCACAGGTGCCTGCAAGGGTGCTATTGTTCTCCAGAGAAAGTGGCAAAATGGTAGTATTACTTTTCCTGGAGGACTGGGATATATCAACATATGAGGAATCAGCAGAGATTTTCAAATCAGTAGAGGTGCTGTATGACTTTGTTGAAAGGCAACGATTACACTCGCTTTCAGACATTTCCTTAAGGTGTTTCTCAGTTGAAAAGTTTAGTCCATCTTGCAGCAGTTTCGTCAAATAATTGTCAACATGTGCAGTCCAAATTGCACAATGTTCCACATTACTATCCAATGCTATGTCCTCAAAATTAAAATCCTTTACATCATGCTGACTTTCAGCAGCAGTTTCTCTTGATGATAGTAGATCTTGTATCCCTTCGAGATGGGGGACTAAAAGTCCTCTGACAGTGAAGTTCCACATATTATCACCATATGCTTTGTATAATCTGTGGTGCCTCTTGTTGCCACGATAAATATTTACATTATCCATAAGAAGCAATAAAGGAATTTCTTGTGGTGTCAAACTTGTCACATATTTCTTTTTTCTTTCAAGCTGACTATCAAGATAGTTCATTAATGTATCCCAGTGAATAGTGAGGCCACATTTGTTCAATATGTTAATCATGCGGCAACCAGCACCATAAGAAACAAGCATCATGGTAAATAGCAAGGTAACATCATTTTTGCAATGTCGATTACGTAAGCTAGTAAGTAAGGAAAGAGCATCTACTGCACACTTTGATTTTCTGTCCGTCATCTCACTATCAGGGAATAGACACTGGACAATTTCGGTTAACATTGGACATTCTCTGACAAAATCAAGTTTCAAGTTTTTGAATGTCTCTCCAGTAACTTGTTCTTCTGGCGAATTCACTCCGCTTCGAATACCAAGGTTTACAAAAGTAGATAACCTGTCATATTCCAAGACTATAGTGGATCTTTCAGAAGCAGATATCTTCTTATCAGTTTCCCTTTGCAGCAACAGTTTTAACTCTCGCTCATAGATAGCATCAATGCTATCTGTGATTTTTGAAATGCTTTCCATTTCTTGGTTGTACATGTTCACAAGAGTACTCAGGTAAACATTATCACTGACTGATGAATTTGACAAAATGTCATCCATAATTAATTTGGCTTTCTGTTTACAAGTTAAAACATTTTGTTGCAAATTGTAAATTTCAGTGTTTTGGCTCACTTGCAAATCTGATTCATCAATAGATTCACTACCGACAACAAATGAGATTGACTTTCTTATATTCCTATACTGTTGCTTTCTCTTATCATAAGTAGCACTGGTAAAGGCAGACTTGACAGCTCTTGTTGCATGACTTTTGCTATCAGTTCCTAAAAAGCTCATAACTTCTGACCTTTCTGTTCTTTTTCCTGGGCTTTCTACAAACTCTTCCTTTAATTGTGTTTGCAAAATATCCTGCCTTTTCTTGCATCCTTCACCATGGAGTCTTTTTGCAGGTGGTTCAAACTCACTTGGACTTAAGTCTGATCTTTTGGCTTTAACTGGAGTGCTGCTGGCCAATGGCTCAAGATCTCCTGGCTCTAAATGGAAGAAAAAGTAGAGGGTCTAGATGAGCCTATTTTAGTATTTTACTCTGTCAAACACCAGACGATTTTACTCGTCAAGTGGAGAATGCTGCCACTCAATGGGTTATTGGGTTAACCAAACAAACTGCCCATATAGTTAATGTTAAGTGTTGACGGCCCATATTCTTTGATGTTGAAATGCTAAAAATTGTGCTGTTCACTGTCATGGAAGACTTGGCAGTTTTAAAAGTGTTCAGTGTTGTAATTACTATAAAAAGCACTACCACTGGGGAAAAAATGTGAAATTCATATATGAAATTTACAATTGCATCACTAAATCCATAGTGTATCTATACTATTTCCATACTATGGAAATATATACAGGTCATTTATTTTTGTGTGATCCACAAGGCCAAATAAAAATAATAGTTGGTTTCAGGTTTCCAACCAACCTGTCAAAAATATGACCGACCATGAACATTTTATTGACATTTAAACGTTTAGACTGAACATTGTTGACATTAAATATTTAGTTGTTGCTCGTTTCCTTGCATGTCAAGTTTTTATAATATGTATGCAGGTGAAAACCTGACGTTAAAACAATAAAAACTAAGAGTTTATAATGAGTTCTATCTTATATTTATTGCATACTTGAGATAAAATACTTTTTCAAAATAAAATGTTTTTCCGACCTACCTACCCATATAAAACATGGCTGTGAAACCGGCTGAAACCAACTATTATTTTTATTTGGCCCAAGTAAATATTAACAGCATACACTATACATTATATTTAAAAACCCTCGAACTATAAACTTCACAACGAAAATGACGATGAAATAATCTTTGTAATAACATAAAAGGATAAAACGCGATAAACTAAACAAAACCTTACCTTCCAAAGATAAATTATGAAGCGAATCGTTGAGTATATCCACATCGCAGTCATCACTAGCAGCCCCAGTAGCGACTGTTTTAATAGCGACATCTTCATTTGCATATTTTTCCATCAAAATAACTACCAGAGGGTCCAGACTACCAGTAGGTAATAAAATTATACAAATAAACACTTCCTAATCAAACACGAAGTCACTTTAAACAACCAGACAAAGTAAAACTCCCGGATTGCACATATATTTTATGATGTCCCACATTTCGAGCATGTGGGAAAGAAATCGAAGTAAAACTGGCAGAGGCTTTCCCTTTCCTCGCCCCCCTTGCGCCCTCCTTGCCCGCGTTCCGAATTTTAGCAGTTTCCTCGTTACATATTACCATCTAGCGCATAACTCTGTAACATTACCGTCTAGCGCATATATTTTTAATACAATAGCTCCTCAAAGCCTCTGTGGAGGAGAGAGGAACAAACTGAATATAGCCCCGTATCTAGATTTTATACATTTTACCTAATGTGTCATGCATTAAAATACAAAACAAGTGAAACTCCAAAAATCGATATCATTTTGATAAATAAAAATGTTATCGATTTTTGGAGTTTCACTTGTTTTGTATTTTATTAAAATACTCAGTGGTTCTAAAATTTTTTGTCATGCATTAAATGCAGTATTTATGCAAATTACAATACTTAATAGCTTGCCTTTGATATGTCAGCCAGTTTGAATATTAGGAAGGTTTATGAGAGAGAAACACAGGAAGATCTGAAAAGGTTGTTGACTGATGAACTTCATGGGGTTCAGAGAGTCCCAGCACTTCTCTACACAAATCCATTGGCTAGTTTAGCTTCAATTAAGGTTACACAACACCTTTGAGTGTTAATTTTGCCTAAAATTTTTTTATTGGTTTCCATGAAAGCATTAGACTAGTTCTACTATCTGACCAAGTTTGAACAAAAAATGTTGAAAACTCGCAGAGTTATTTAATAAAATACATTTCGCTGCAATACGAAAAACATTGAAAATGTAATATTCAAATACAATTTTCTCCCGAAAAATTTTACGGTAATTACTGATTTTCAAACGAGTTGTGCTCCTGCGGGTTTTAACCTATTTTTCTCAAATTTTCACAGGACATAGCTAAAGAGGTCAGTTTCAAAATTGTGTTCAGCTTTTTTTAAATTTTGGATATTTTAAAAATAAAGAACAATTGACTCAAACAATTCAGAAATATATTGCAGTCGTCAAAGAAATCGCCATATCAGCGGAATGACGAAATAAACAAAAAATTCCGAACACAATTTTTTAGAACAAGTATTTTACTGTATAAAAATGATATTTTCATAAATATAACTTAAAACCAGCAGGAGCACAACTTGAAAGCGTAACGGTACCGCGATTTAAGATTTTCCTGAATAATTCTTACATTATTTTATTGTTAATTTTACAACTTTACCATATTTTGCATGCACTGGAGAACATTTGGTGAAAATTTGATGAAAATCGGACTGACATTGAGCGTGCAGTAGTAATTTTTTGCAAAACGCCAAAAAGGGTGTCGTGTAACCTTAACTGCGACAAGTATGAAATATTACCATTTGAACCACTACATGATGTGGGAAAGCATATTGAAAATATTCTTGTTGAGTTGCCCATGCATGTTTCATCTGGCAAAGCAACAATGATTAATGAAACAATTGAACTCTGCCTTGGGAAGAAAAAAACAAAGCGATGCTTTGACTACCGGATGTGCTCTGATTACGGTTACAGATCATGTAATTGGCAAGGTTTCTCTGGAAGTACAGAAGCTGTTACAAACCTTGGTGGAAATACAGGCCATCGCATATGGAAGATATGAGGACCGTTCACCTCGCAGTGTTCTAAGATTCCACAATCTGACATAGCTACATGCATTTCTATGTTGGCAAGTTATTGGCTACCAGACAAAGATGATTGTCGAAAATTTTATGGTGTCTATTTTCACAAATTATCAGCCCATGCTGCTACCCAAAATCGCCTCATCAGTGGAAAATCCTGCTATGCAGAACAAGAAAGTGTTTTCAATGCAGTTGCCAACATTACTCGGTCCACCTCATCCTATAAACTAGGACATATTGTTGGGAATGTCTTTGTTCGAATCGAAGCTGAGAAGAAATTGGGGGAGTACCAATCTGAGAATACAATTAATCAGCAGCAAAATCACATTTCCAAACTGGCTAAATCACTTCCCTCTAAATCTTGGGAAGCTCATTTGGAGAGGATAAGTGACTTTCTGATGTTTGGCAAAGGTGTTTGGTGGACCAGCAATGAAGAAGCTGATGTGGAGTTTTTTGACAGCATGCAATCCATAGTAGATTCAAGATATGAAGGTCCAAAAGCTTCATCATTTTCATTCAATAACTTCAAAGAAGAAGATTACCTATGTAAGTGTGCATGGGAAAGAAAATTTCCAAACCTCTTCATGTGCTACGGTTGAAAGATGCCACTAAAGATACCTTTATCAAGACCCAGTTCCTGATGAATCAAGAATTGTCAGATGATGCTTCCAATGATCCCAGTATGGAAGATTAGGTATCGGTTGCAGACAGTGAATAACTAATAATAAAATAACTAATAACTAAATATTTAATAACTAAACTTAGATAATTAATGTTAACAAAATATATATTCTCATATTTAGGACCAATGAGATATGTTTTGCTGGATAGCTAGATGTATAAACTTGTGGTGATTCAAACAAAAGTGTCAAAGAAAGGATTGGAAAAAAAACTATTTTATGTCCACCAATAGGTTACCAACATTTGACAAACTGATAGCAGATTCAGTCATAAAAGAAAAACTAAGACAAATAAAAACTGCCAAACTCATTATTAAATTAAGGGAATGATATTAAGAGATCATCATGTGTACTGTATAGTGTGTATTACAATACAATGTGTACAGTATTTACTCAGTAGCTTTTTAATAAATGCTATGCAGTGAGACAATGTTAAGGGGATACGGCAATATATTTATTATTTCATTTGGAAGAACTTTTAAAATTATATGTAAATCTCTTTTACTGATTTTGCATAACTTTGGTTTTTCTTGAGATATTTGAACAGAAAAAATCAGAAATCAGCAAGCTTTCAGCCGCCATTGTGGATTTTGGCAGATATGCATGCGACACAAGCAGGGTCACACAAGAATTTTATCCATAGAGCAATTGGTTATTATTAGCCGAAAATCATATACTTCCGTAACTATTTGAAAAAACAACTGTCTGACGACTTTTCAAACAAGAATTAATGTTATTTGGTCATTGCTGCCGCAGGCAGCTACCTATTCTTGTGATTTGTTCCCAGACCTCTTTACCTAGCTATATGAATGCGACAATGATTTGGATTTAGCAATGTTTGGATGTTCAGTTTTATGACGTTTTGTGACGAAGATTCGACAGGTCTTTACGGAAGCTACCGGCTGCTCTTCAGGACATGCCAAGATTTAGCACGAGAGGGGTGTAATTTTATACAAGTTGGCAAGACTGTATTTAGCAAATATTGCGATTTTTAAGTCATTTATTTAAGGTAAGATCAAAGCATTATCTACGATCCTTTTAGTTTACAGTAAGAAGAATTTTTACAATTTGTTCTTCTATTTATATAGGACCGCGTTTGATATTTATATAAACCTGTGGCTGTGCATATTTGGTGTTGGGAATCATTGTATTCACGCTGATCAATATATCGATCAGACACTTTGCGTGTTGGTCACGGTGTGGCAACAGGCAACTCAAATAAAATTCACATCAATTCTAAACAAACAAATGGAAACAAACGAGAGCCATTGTGTTCTTTACCATCGAAACAAACGAGAGCCATTGTGTTCTTTACCATCAAACTTACAATATAAATAGCAAAGCATTGTCGCTGAAACACAAACGAAGGTTCACGTGACTCAGAGCTACAGTATAAAAACTGCAAATTTTACATACTTCTATTGCCGATAGAGCAAGTCGCAGTGATAGAATATACAAGTATCCATACAGGTAAGACCTTGTTTGTTTGTTAAACTGAACATTTGGATGGGGGTAACAATTGAGCAATATCGTGCCCGAATTGGCGCACATTTTAATAGCTATAGTGTGAGAAGCAATGATCTATCAGGCATCAAACGTCCTTTTCTCAATAGTATAAATATGTTGATGTTATATCTCCGGCTGGTAATGAAAATTATATTGATAATAGTATTGATACAAATATTTCATTTGAGCGTATCTAATTTGACAACAAAAACATTTACAGAAACATATAAATGTTTGAGTCATTGTCCAGTGTTTATATTCACTGAGCTGTCATGTTTCATTGTGTATGTACCACTATTGTTGAGAATAGCAAATGATGCAGAAGAAAATCCTGGGCCCACAGTTTATGATGTGGTTGACCCAGCTAAAACAATATGTGCCGATTTTAGCCAAGGTGATGCAAGAAAGTTCAGACAGAATGCTGGTAAACAATGTGTAGCCATGTCATTAACTGCAATAGTACATAATCATATAAATAATGTTGTTACATGGGATTCATCATTCTTGAATGAGATATTGTGTGCTGGAAATAACCTTTATACTTGCATAAGCAAATCTGTTAACAAAAGCTTCTTGCTGTTAAGTGATGTGCCAGAAATGGTCTCAGTTTCTGATAAAATTTATGATTTGAAATTCAGTGACCCATATGCTGGTGATCTCTTTACAACAACTATTGATCTACCTTACTATCCTTTGGAAGAGGCTTTCAATAATCTGTTTTCGGATATGCAGTTAAATTATCAATATTGCTTGTTGACTATAGGTTGTAACACTGTTTCAATATTTAAGGCTTCTGAGGGAAACTTCAAAATGTTTTACATACCACACCCATTTGGAAAATGTGTATGGCATACCACACCCATTTGGAAAATGTGTTTTAGTTTCTGTTGAAGGTGTTGGTAACCTGGTGATATATTTCCAGAATACCGTACCTCCAGGTGTAACACCCTTTGAAGTAAAGGGAGTGACTATTCAGTTAATAAATTCTGAAATGATCCAGCAAGGATCCCCTACTTCACACCTAGACGAAAGTATCAACTCAAATGAATGTGTGAAACAAAAAAGGTCAGTCGAATCGGAAAATGAAAAAACAACTAGGCTTCAAAATGCTAGAAAGTATAAAAAAGCAAAACAAACAGGGGAAACTGAAAGTGAAAAACAAACTAGACTTGAGAAATCTAGGCTGTATCAGAAAAAAAACGAGCTGGAGAAACTGAAAAACAAACTAGACTGGAAAATGCTAGGTAATATCGCAAAAGAAAACAATTACAGGAAACTGCTGTTCAAAAGCAAGATGCTAGTGTTATTAAGGAAAATAGAGGAAGTATAAACTCTTCAGAAAATATTACTATTTTTGAACAAAATAATGTTAATAGAACTATAAATCAGCAAGATTATTTGAAAGATTTTGACAATATAAAAAATGGTAGTATTAATGAACAACATTGGGCAAAAGAAAATATTAATAAGTTTCATAAATCTCTTGAATTTGTCATCTCCCATTGCACTATTTGTAAAGAGGCATGGCCATTAAAATCTAAACCAAGGTTACCTGATATCTATGTGTGTTCACGATGCGCTAGAGATAATAAATCCCCCAAAAAGTTTTCATGAAAATTCAATGATCCCTTCACCTGTTCCCCATGAGTTGCAAGATTTGACTCAAGTTGAGGAAATGTTGATTGCACGTGCTCTTCCCATTATGAGAGTTTATATTAAACCTGGGGGATAGATAACGTGGATATTCTGGCCATTGCATTAACTTGCCACAAAATGTGACAGAACTTGCAACATCCTTGCCAAGATACCCAAAAGACCTGGCTGTGATTATTGTCAAAGTGAAAGGTAGAGATAACACATTTAAAGATGTCAGTGTAAGAAGAGAAAAAGTACATAATGCATTGTTATGGCTTGTACATAATAATCCTCATTATGCTGAATTAGATATTAACAAAATTGCATTAAACTCGTTACCTGGAAATGGTATTCCAGCAGATCTTATGACTGTGGAGACTGAAAGTGAAATAGTGTTAGATGATGGTGTTATACCAGATTTGGGCCCAATAACCGATAACAATTCCGAGGACACAGTTTATAATCATTCCACAGAAATGAGTAGTTTCTTACCTGTTGGTGAACAGCAGGAACAAGAATGACCCAATGATATGGCCAACAACTGAAAATGAGCCATTAAATGAATATCAGGTTTCACATCTGGCCACTATGGCATTTCCCACATTATTCCCAGATGGAAAAGGTGATCCAACTAACCAAAGTCTCTTGAGAGATGTTCCTCTTCAAGAAAGAATTAAACGTCTTTTAAAATTTGCTGAACTCATTTCTGGTAAATGGGTGTACCGTTTTGCCAATCATCCTAGATTTTCATACTGGGCTTTTAATATGATTCACAGAAAGGCGTATCTTACAACAAAGTGGAATATTTCTCAAACAAAACCCGGTGAAGCACATCTCACCATTGATGAGTTAAAAGATATGGCTATGAGTAACAATTCTGCTGCATTAATATCTAAAGTGTCTAGGTATGTTGGCAATATAGCTGGTAGAAATGCTTACTGGAACAAAGTAAAAGAAGAATTAAAAGCTATTATAACAAGTGTTGGAGCACCAACATTGTTCTTTACTTTTTCATCAGCAGATATGCATTGGCCTGAATTGCATGCTTTGTTTGGAACAAATACGGAAATTATTACCAGTGAGATAAGGCGACAAAATGTCATTAACAATCCACATTTAGTCGACTGGTTTTTCACTCAGAGGCTAGAAAGCTTTGTCAAGTACTGGCTTTATGACACCCTTGGTGCCAAGTGGCACTGGTTTAGATATGAATACCAGGGTAGAGGTAGTATCCATTGTCATGGTACTGCTAAACTAAATAATGATCCAGGTTTGTGTGAACTTACTCAGACTGCTCTGAAAGGATTCCTTGCCCAGAAATTTAAAGATGAGAATGACTGTTCTGATACAACAGAACTAGACCTGGATATTCACGCTGGTAAGAAAGCTGCTGACACAGCATGTCAATATGTTGATTGGCTATTATCAACTGTTAACCCAAATCCACCAGATGAGGACATGTGGATAAAACCTGAACTGCATCCATGTCAGAAACGTCATAATGACATTCCACACTTTGATGTACAATCTGATTATGTAGATCTTTTAAACATGGTTCAAAGACACACTCGTTGTAGTACAGGCTACTGTTTAAGAAAAAAATCTAATGAAACTGAGTTGAAATGTAGATTTCACTTCCCATTTGAACACTGTCCTCAGACAAAACTGCAATTTGAAGAAGTTCACAGTAAAGGTGGTAATGTACAATATAGAGCAAAGATTGTTACTAGAAGAAACGATTCAAGATTGAATAATCACCAACAATTGCAGCTGCAAGGTTGGAGAGCTAACTGTGATATTCAAGTAGTTATTGATCACTATGCTTGTGTAGAATATCTTGCTAAATATGCTGCTAAAGGTGAACCAAGGTCTCCTCTGTTAAAACTAGCATTTAACTCTATTGTCAAGAATGTTGACAATAATAGTGATCCTCATAAAGTTATAAAGAAAGTAGTAATGAAAACTCTTGGTGAAAGGGACTATGCAGCTCAAGAAACAATGCACCATTTGTTATCTTTGAAACTGCATAGTTCATCATTCAAAGTGATACCAGTGAGTCTCAATGGTTCACGTAGGGTCCGTGACAATGTATTGATAGAAGATGGTGATTCTTGCACTGATGACTCACTTCTTGATGTATATGCTAACCGTCAGCAATACGACAGTTCAAGTGACATTGCAAACATGAACTTTGTACAATTTGCTACAACATACAAAGTTGTTAACAATGAGTTAGTAAAACTACCAGACAATGTTATCCCAAGAATATTTCCTACTTACTCCAGCAACCCTAAAGGTCCAAACTTTGGACTGTATTGCAAATATCAGCTTCTAAGGTACAAACCCTGGAGCACGACCCAAAACAATGCATGGGGTGACCAAGAACCAACTGATGAGATTCTAACTAATCATTTACATGAATTTTTGCAAACACCTTATGCACAAACTCATGTACCGGACTGGCTTGATAAATGGGAAACTGTTATTCAAAGACGACAAGAACTAGAAGATGAGCCTTGTGAAGAGCAAGGCAATATCAGAGACGAATGGATGATTTTATCTGATCTTCACACACCATTTGAGAGCTCTGTACATGTACAAACACCAGAATCAATGTATGATTGGCACCAAGACAGAGCTCGGTATTCTGAGCAACAAATTCAGGAAATGCCAACATGGATAAAAATGAAAAAGGATAACCATATTATTGATCAACAGTACGAAGTGGTAGATACAAACAGTTTCAGTGAAATGCAAGCACTCGCTTACAATATTGTTAATACACATTTTGTTAACATCTCACCTGATAAAGAGCCATTATTCCTTATTGTTATTGGCGTAGCCGGGACTGGTAAGAGTTATCTTATCAATGCGATTTGCAACCTTCTGCAATGTAAATGTGTAGTTACTGCCACAACTGGTAAGGCTGCATTCAATATAAAAGGTATTACTATTCACTCATTGCTGAAACTACCTATTGGATCACGAGGCAAAAAAGATTTAACAGGCCAGTCTCTTTGTCAACTTCAGGAAAGTCTAAATGAGGTTGAATATATTATTATTGATGAATATTCTATGCTTGGTCAAGTAACATTTGGCTGGGTGGATAAACGTTCCAAACAGGCAACAGGATGTTATGATAAAGTACTTGGAGGAAAATCTGTAATCCTATTTGGTGACCCTGGACAATTACCACCTGTAGCAGACAGCCACTTTATCATGCTAAGCCATCAAATTCTATTGGTGAGCAAGGTTATCAAATTTATAGAATGTTTGACAAAGTTGTCAAACTTACTGTCAATCAGCGA